ATATATATCCTTCTAAATAATAATTGATTTATTCAATCTTAATATAATTTGTGGTGATAGACGATGTACCAAAAAATCAAACAAATACTGTTGTGTGCAAGGGTGTGTTTAATAATATATAAGTTACATTTTTTTTTTGTTTATTTCAATACATGCGTTTTACGTTCTTCCAATCATTCAATCATAAAAATCTAAATGTTTACCTTAATAAAATTAACCCGTGAATCGCACCAGTTGTACATTATAACACAAATATTATTTACAACTTCACTAATTTAAATAAGTTTAAAATTTGAATAAATAATAAAACAATATTAATCACTTTTTAATATTTTATCTCATAAGTTTCATAACGCCTGTATACTAAATTTATTTACTCAAATAGTTTCTCCTAATATAAATCTATATAAATAATATTCATTTTTTTTTTTAAATAATCTATACTTATATAAAAAGTCATTCTATTTACTAGAGTAGTTAGAAAAGTCAAAGATAATTAATGCATTATATTTCCATCACACATTTTCAATACAACTTACCATGATTTTTCTATTGTGATTAAAAATCAAATTTAACGTTTAATATCTTGCGAAATTATTATTATTATGTTTATAAAGCACATATTATTTGTTAAAAAAGTATATATATATATATACACACACACACACACACATCACAGTATCGTGGTAGATGATTTATATTTCAACCGACCAAAATGCCAATGATTTAAATTTTAACACACCTATGCGTTTGACCAAATGTTTGGATGATTTAAAATTTAGACTATAAAAAATTATTTAAATTTGAACACACCAGAAATTTTATGGATTTTTTATATATAAATATATTGAAAGCGGTATTTAATGGTTGTTATATAACTATTTTTATATATTTCTAATATATAACTATGTTTGTGACTTATGAGACACGAACACATAACTCCATACATATTTGCCAGAGGGCGGCTTAATAATTTTGTAGACTCAACGTTGATTAAAAAAGGTAAAAAAATAAATAATAACATTATTACTTTTTAGACTTAAACGGACAAAGTTCAAATGAAGCCTTTCTCTGTCGCTGTTTATCCCCTCTTCTCAAACCCTAACCGCAACTCCTCCTATTTCGTCGCCAATTAGCCTTCTCCGGCGACGGTGGGGCTTGGCCAGCGGTCGCCCTTGACCGCTCGTCCTGCCTTGGTCTTCGTGCTCCCCGAAACCTGCTGCGTTTCAGCTGCGTCGGCCCTCAAGCGATGACGATTTGGAAGCTTGAGATGTTGTCCTCATGGTCGGAGTCCTGCCGGCGATGGGTGGCTTCCTCCCAGACACCGGCGGCCCCTCGATTGGAGATGGTAAGTTCCTCTTTCTATCAGCTATGTCGATGTTTGGAGTCTACTGTTGGTCGGTTCCGTCTCTCTCTGGCGGGGCGTCCAGTGGGCGGGGCGTTTGCAGTCGGATTATTGTGGTATGGTGCTCGGCGAAGTGCGGGTCTGAGGATGGGGAGGCCCGGACTGCTGCGATGTCTTCATTCGTGGCGGTCGGGGTTGTTGAACTGTACCACCTAACCGCTCCCCTATTTCGGCTAGTGGTGTTAGGCGCATGGACGGATTCAGCATTGGCCCCGTTTTTTTTTACACCTACTAGCTTCAATTTTTTTTTTTTTTTTTTTTTTTTTTATTTTACCCTTAGCCCAGCCCTTAGCCCAACCCAACCAAATAAAATAAACAAGCAGCCAGCAGTCTCAATTTCCCAACTCAAGTTTACATTTAATTGTTAATTTGTATACTAATTCACTTAAACAAATTAACTTTACCCAAGAGAAAAAGGAAAAAATAGAGCACCTCTTCCTCTGCTCGATTTCTGCTATTTCTACCTCTGAGTCTCTGACATATACGGATTGCGTTCACCGACAGCCTAATTCTCATCGATGGAGGTCGCCGTCCACTCGGCCCCCGATTTAGAAGTACCCAAAAAAAATAAAAAACTTCACAAACCCTAGATAGGCTAGATTACTCATGACTAGATTATGTATTGTCATTTTGCACCATGCGTGATTCGTGAATTTGATTATGATTTCAATTTTCTACACTTCTTATAGTTATTGCTAATTGCTATATTTTTTTTATTGTACATGTTTTTTTTTCCTTTTTTTTTCTAATTTAATTTTGTTTGATTTTTTTTTTTTATTTTGTTAGATTAGTTATCTTATTAAGTTCATGTGACACTTGCTTGCAAAGGGAGAAAAAAAATGGTGTATGGGGTTTGATTAGTGTGTAAGATATGATTTAGTGATTGACGAATTTTTGGAGAGGAAAAGAGAAATTTGAAGGATTTCTCATTTCTTCTAATCTTGTTTGTTATGCTTTATTGGGGATTGTCTTATATAGATTTTATACTTTTGGTTTTGATAGATAATTTATATATTGTTATTTTTGAATGGTTGATCATATGTATATAATGTAGAAATGATTAGTTCATATATTTATATTTCAACTTATATTTGACTTGAATAAATGGGCATATTTGGCTTATATTGGTATTGTGAAAATATTTGATAAAAATGTGTATTTAAAATTCTAGTCCAGTCTACTCTTAATTTCTAGATTCGTCCCTGGTTAGGCAGAGGGGGTCTGGGAACCTGCCTCTTTGGAGCTCGGCTAGTGGTGTTAGACGAGTTCGGAAGGGCGGGTGGTGTTTGGTTGGTCGGTTTGTCTCGGTTGGAGGTGGGTCGATTCGGGAATTGGTTCGGGGCTCAGTTTCGGCTACTGTATAGGCGGTTGCGCAGTTTCAGTAGTGGGTTCTCGGGCTAGGACTATTTCTTATGTCGATTGATCACTGCTGGTTGGGCCTGATCGCTCGTCGGGGGAGGACTGTTGTTTATTTTAATATTATGTGTTGTTTTTGATTGGTGTTTGTTCGTATTTGTGTCCGTGTTGTTTTTGTGTTTTAGGTTTGGGCCATTTGGCCTCTGTGTGCTTGAGTGTCACCTTTATTACCTTGTTGGGGCCCGACACTCGGTATTACCCTGTTGGGATCTTTGTGTTGTTTTTTGTGTTTCTGTAGTGTTTTTGAGTATTACTTCTTTGGGGTCGGTTTTAGGCGGTCATTTGGACTTGTCCTCCCACTTTTTAGTTGTTGGCTGGTTGTATTCAGCTGGTGGCTGTTTGTATTC